ACGTAGAGTCTGACCCATTTGTATGAATATGAGCCGTGAACACCATTTGCCTAGGCTTTAGTCAACGAGTTTCATTAGCAATGGTATGAGGTCTATATGTGATCACTCGGTTGTAACTAAAAATTAGGTTGGTACGTGCGAGAGACCAAGTGTTGTGTCGGCGCTTATGCAATTATATCTTTGAATTCAGTGCCTTGGTCTGCTTACATGACTCGTGGGAATCCATGTTCATATATTAGTGGTACCAGCGTTCTTGCAATTTGTTAATCATGCTCTAAGTACGATGAGTGTACATCTAGCCACACTAACGCATATGTGTTGCCTCTATTTGAGTCCAGTAGTGGGCCTGTAGTGTCCACTTGCATTTGTCGCGTGGAATTGCGGCCGAAATTGATTGTAAGGGATGGACGCCCTTTTTGAGAGTTTTTCCCTTGAGACACGGTACACAACCTTTGGTGTATTTGTGTTCATGTCATTGAGAAACTTATCGAGTAGATTGTCCACAGGGTGGAGTCTTAGTTTGATTATGATGACTCTATTGAACTGCTCTGAATCGGTGAAATACCGTGTGACACGCGTGCTGAGTAGATATCTCATCGAGCACCCCCTTGGTTTCCTCTGTTGCGTCCGTGGAGTCTAGCAGGGCTCTAACGAGTGCTGTACATTGATATAAGAACATGGACTTATCAAAGAATCTATGCATTGTGTTATGAACTTTATGATATCGCCAAAATTTTCCTTTTTGAAGAAAGTATCTTTGGATAACTTCGGAAATTCTGAGTGTTCTTATCGTCTGTGCACGATAGCAAGATATCTAGCTCACTAGTGAATCAACTAACCATAAATAGCTCATCCTCTTCGTTGTCACCACATTCTTCGATAGCCTTGTCATGACTCTTACTGAGATACTGTAAATGGATGTTGGAATATATTACAATGCATATATAAGTTCATTATTTTGGGAGGTACATTTCTTTTCCCTGCTATTGCATTGACTGCAATTATTGAAGAATCAACACTAACGACGGTGACCGGTTGACTTTATCGTAACCGGTCTACGACATTTTGTAGTATGCCCGATACCTAGGCATCTTTATTTACTAACATAGAAGTATTTCAATGTATTTTCCGGTCAATGCATTTTCCGGTTGTCCGTCAATGATGTTGATAAATTAAAGATGCTCGTGAACGAATCGTCATCGACTGACTTGCCGTTGCAATGTTTCTTAAGGAAACTCACTAATTATATTATCCTTGTCCTTAATTTCTTGAGAAACTCGTCTGTTCTTTCATACACGATATGTAATTAGCTATAATTCCATTTATGATTGGATAGTTTTTCTTTTTCAAATTATGCTTCTTATTGCAACGAGCGTGACAACACTCGATAGGAGCTTGGTAGTCGTTTCGTAAACATTCATCGAACCTAAAGTTGTGCAGTGCCCTCGGTATTTTCATCATACAGTCTATTATGTTGTGAGGTTTGCATGTTTATCAGAATTAAATGGTGAGATCTCGCCCCGCGGATACATTTGTTCCCTTTTGAGCTTTAATGCTCGACATTGCTCGGAGTTATTTCTCCCATTGTTTCCGTGACGAGTGGAATGTAAATTTTGCTCATTTTGACTGCTTCGGTACTGTACTTCTTCAGCAGACCGACGTGTTTGATAGAGAAATTTTGTACCTTGACGGTGTAGTTCGACTAATATGTGTAAACTTCGATGGAAATT